CTTTCAAAACACCTTATTTAGGGGTTTGGAGTTGAGGAAAATTGGAGAAGATGGAAGAAACCAAGTTGAAGAAGAAGATGGGTATGAATCGCTAAGAGAGAGAGCCGAGCGGTCCTCGCTAAATCAGGCCTATCTGTGTATACACTTGGATTTTAACCATGAGGCCACCACTGTTGGAAAGCTTACTTCTGGGGCTTCATTTTTCACTCAAGAATCTCCTAAAGCCAAGTCCGGATGGGGGAGATATGGTTGGTTGAACTAGGGCATCAATCCGGTTGGACCGAAACTGCGTGGCTTCACCAAAATAGGCATAACTTTTTGTACAATTGGAATTTTGATGCAAGGCTGGTGCCATTGGAAAGCTAACTTCTGGGGCTTCAATTTGGGTACTAGACAACCACTTTTTGGCCTTTCTAGCCATTGGCCGACCACTTTTCTTTTCAGGAGACCACTTTTTAGCTTCAAACTTCTTCAACATGCTTGGTGCTTGATTTTCTATGAGAGGGAACCTCCTCCCTCTTATCTGAGGTTCTGAAATTTGCTAAGAGTGATAGATACATCTCCCTTTCTATATTCTTTTGTCCCTCTATATTTTGTGCCTTAAAGAGTGTTATTCCTTCACTTTTGGACTACAACTCCTAGCCACACACCACCATATTTGAGCTGAGATCCTTGGAGGTGGTTTTGGGGTCATAAGAGTTGGTTTTGGGCTGGAGCAATTGCTGTTGTTGTAGTGCTTCAAGGGTAACCCCTTTTCTCCTCTTTAAGCTTTGTTTTTATGGTTACTCTCCTAGCCATATTTTCATGCAGATTTGAGCTTAACTTTCTACTAGAAAAAGTTCTATTTTTTAGTCCTTGTGATATTTGTTTAAGGTCATTTTTGCATTGTTAGGCCTTGTTTTGAGCCATCTCTTTAAGCCTTTAAGATCACCTTCTCTTGGCCTTTTAACCATTGAAATCCATCGGATTTTCAGTGGGGAAAATATGGTTTTAAGGCCTGAAATGAGACTGGGTGGTCCCCCCTCCTCTTGTCTTGTTTGTATGCATAGAGGGTCTATCAAATGAGCATCCTTTTACACTTCTTTGTGGCTTTGTTTAAGCTTGTTTTGGTGACTTTTGGGACCAGATATGACTCTGTTTTTGGCTGGTTTGATTGTCTCTTGAGTGCATAATACACTTGTAGTGTAAATCACACAAACTAGCCTTGTATGCTTCATGAAGTAGCATGTCATTCTAGCTTGTTTTCTTTCCATTTCAACATGTTTTTGGTGATGTTTTTCCTGCCATGACTCTGTGTTGGTTTGGTTTGGTTGGCCCTTGCATGCCTCATGCACTTGTAGTGCAATTCCATGAAATTGCCTTAACATGTTTTATGCTTTAAGCCATGTTTTTAGCATGATTTTGGCTCGACCCAAAGAAGATTTAACCTTGTTTTACCATGCTTAAGGTCTGTTTGGTGTTATTTTGGTCATGCATGTTTGGTTTTGTATAGCTATGTTGTATTTTGCTTTGCTAGCCTAGCACTTTGGGCCCCCTAGCATGTCATATTTGAGCTATTTGCATGATATGGAATCATTTGGTAGGTAATTCCTGACCATAAAATTCTACCATGCTCTCGTGATTATCACTCTTTCATAGTGTTTAAGAGTTGTGCCCTTATGCCTTGTTTGCGAGCTAATTCGAGAGCCTATCTTTCTTGCCATCTTTGTTGTGAGTTTAGCTTGTTTTTGCTACCATTTTAACCTGCCTTAGGTCTATTTTGAGTGATTTAGGTCATTTGAGCATTGCTTGGTATGATTGTAGTGAAAAGCCCTTGACAAGCTTTGTATTTCGGGTCTCTTGGCATGCTTTATTTGAGCTATTTGCATGATAGGACATCACTTGGCAGATGATTTCAGTGCTTGTACCTACGCCATACTCTCATATTCATCACTTCTTCATCTTGTTTGAGAGTTGACCTTTATGCCTTGTTGATGAGCCATTGCATGAGCACAAGTTCTTTGCCTTTTTGTGCCTAGGTTTTGGTGTGAAATGGCCTCTATTTGGGCATGGCTAAGTTCTGTCCATTTTAGTTTAAGTCCATTGAGCATGATTGATTGCATGTTGTTCGCATGCTATGTTGTTCATTGCATTGTGTATGCCTTGTCCTTTGCATTGTTTATGCTTAGGTCACATTGCATTGAGTATGCCATCATTGCATTGTGCATGCTAATTGGTACTTGCATTGTGTATGTTAGTTGTTGCATGCTTGTCCCTTGCATTGTGTATGCCATGTAGTTGCATGTTTGCATGCTTAAGTCACATTGCATGTTTGCCATGTTACTTGTGTTGCATTGTTGTTTGGAATAAGTGTTAGTCCAAACGCGGGAAACGAGGGGCATTTCATACTTCAAGTGATGAAACGTGCCTCAATTCTCGGTCGCCGACGCACCGATGCTCTTGATTCTACATGATAGAGTACTAGGCCTTATGTGTTTATTTGTGCATTCATTTTCATAACTGAATTGTGCAACTTTGCCTCTCGGCCATCATGCATTGAAATACGCGATTACTGGCCCGAGGGTCGAGAACCACACTCCCTTGAGTTCATGACATGATAAGGAGGGTGGTTGTGCACACATATGTTGTAAATACTTAGCCATGCCCTTTCTTGCTCTTTGTTGCAGCAAAGTGGAGTCTGGCAGTAGCAAATGGTCGGCCGACCAGTATTATTAGCTAGCCGACCACTTTTTCTGATTTTTCAACACAGAAAGTGGTCGACAGGTGGTCTCCAATGCCAAAAACTGGTCGGCAGCCCTCCCACAGGTTCCCAAGGTGGAGTTTAAGCCTTCTGGAGCTTGCTGCAAGCTTCTGAGAACAATTGCAAACAGAGGCAAGTTGGGGCATCGCAATGGATTTTCGAGCGAAGTGGTTCGAGCATGCATGCATCCCTCGTCATGAGGCCATTTCAGTGCTTTTATTAACTTAGAATAATTATTTGTTTCAATTCATTTTGTAATAATTAATTAGCTAGAATAGCTAGTTAATTAGTCGGTTCTGTATTATTTATTTGGACCCTCCGTCGAGAGTGTGAATTTTGTAATAAGTGTGCGTGAGTGTGTGAATGTCTTCCAACCCCACGTCTTTTTCCCTTTTACTCACCTGCTTTTGATGGTTAGTTCTAGGTCATGTTTCAATTAGCATACTTATGCTTTGCATGCGTGCATCATTCATCTGTCTTGCATGCACCGGGCTCGACGCATCATACTAACTGCATTGTATTTCAATACCAAGTTGAATACATGTATCAAGTTACATCTCATATGCCGTCTTAGAATAGCCGAGCCTATCTTAGTTTCATTTTGTATGTGTTGCATTAGGCATTCTTGACATAGCTAGGATCTTGCATTGATTTCTAGCATAGCTTTTGTTTTAGCTCGGAGTAGTTCGTAAGTGTTTATGCTTTAGCATCCTTGCATGTGTGTGAGTGACTGCCATGATAGCTTGTTTGCCATGAGGCTAACTGCTTATGTGATATAACTACCTAAATGCCTGTGGGTGAAGGTTGGGTTACTTGAATTGGAACAATTCATTGATTGTGAGTTTTAAGCCCACTTGAGAGTGGCAAATCACCGTGTTTTCTAAGCCCACTTGAGGGTGGTAAAATCCGCATTTTAGCCTACTTGCAAGTAGCAAACCGCTTTTAAAAACAAACATGAGATGTTTTGTTCCAACTTAGGCGATCCAGTCTATACTTGTATGCTGTGCGCATCACATAGTAATTCTAGGTTAATAACTAGAATAAGAGCACGTGTGTTTTCAAAAACAAGATATCATGTTAGTAAAGGCCGATCTTTGATCGGGCGAGCGGGGATGCTCATTGCATGACATTCCCCTCTCGTACCTAAGTTCCCGAGCCGGGGCAACTTTAGTGATGACGGACACATGGCCTTAGGCACGAGTTAGGGTTTCCTAAATCTCCCCAAAATAAAATATTTAGGTGGCGACTCTGTATCTGGCGAAGCAGTCCATGTTTGGCACTTCTTTCTAAAAATCAGTTTTTCAAAACGATTTGTCGGATTTGGACTCTTTGGTGATTTATCAATCTCGCATTGCACTTTGCAAGATCAGATTAAGAACCGTGACATTGAGTCCGAAATGTAGTGAGCCCAATGAACAAAACAGGATTTTCCCGAGATGTTCGGGCCCGTCTACACAACCTCATTAATATTAAAACCTCAACAGCCCGGCATCGATTGAGTCGCGTGCCCCAATCACCCCATGAACCTCCGTTATTGGGCATCCCAGTTCATAAAAAAGCTGGGGCAAGGGCAGATTTATTAATCTGATTGGCCAAATACCTAAGCCCAATGCCGATCGATTTGTGCCGCAGCCACTCCACGAACTAGCCCTATTCGGCTTTTGGAGTTCATACATTGGCTGGGGCAAGGGCAGATTTACGAATCTAATCAGCCATACGACGGGGCCCTGAGTCGATTTACTTGTTTGGCTAAATTAATTGCCAAGATACACTGTTATCTAATCGGCAGCTATACAGCGGGATATTTAAGCTACTCATCTCATGACATTACATCTTATCGGGTCGATAGTTAGCATGCACAACAGACTAATCATTTTCATCCAACATAGTGAAAAGAAAAACTCTTCATTAATGTCAAAAATTACGTACAACCAATAGTGAAATGAAAAGGAAATTTTCATTAATAAATTGAGCGCAGATAGTAACTAATTTATACATGAAAATTACCTTGAACTAACAAAAATCTACTAAACAAAAACATACATTGAAATTGAAAATACATAATAAAACTAAAATGTCTCCCAAATCAAGCCTCGGGATCAGACTCAAGCGGCTCAACGTCCACTTGTTCGTATGGAATTGGCATGACCAATGTAATTCCAGCAGCAACAAGGGCCTTGAGCCACCCGTGTTTAAATCCCCGATTCTCGTATTTGGGGACTTCTTCTACGTAGTTCTCGAGGGCGGCGCTCTTTCCAACCTCGAACGCCGCAGAAGCCTCAGAGTCGATTTTTTCCTTGGCCTTCTTTAACTCTTCTAACTCAGCCTCCACCCTGGCAAGCGCCTCCTTGGCCAACTTGAGCGACTTCTCGCTCGAGTTCGCCCTCTCCTCAGCATCGGATCTGAGCTGGTTAGCAATCCGAGCCCTCTCCTTCTCAGCTTCGGCTCTTGTACTTTCTATTGTGGCTCTCACCGCTTCGAACTCTGCCCTACTCCTCTCACCTTCAACTTCCCACTTCAAGCAGCCAATTCTTTCAATGGCATCGTGCTGGCGGCGGCCCAGTTCGGTTATCCTTCTAACCGTCTGCAAAACAAGGAGTTGGGATCGTCACATACTAAGAAATATTGTATGCAAACCAAACCAAACAAAGAGTAAAAAAGATCAAGTCACACACCAGAAGGGCCGACTGGGCAGCTAATGCTATTGCTACCAAATCTGGCTCGGCACGAAAGGTTGCCTTGTTAGCCGGCAAAGGGACCGAGGCAGCCAAACTCAGAGCCACAGCTGGATCTTTCAAAGCTGATGCTTCAGAGGAGATAGGCATGTTCTTTATCTTTGGTTCAATAACGAAAGGCACAACCACACTCGACTCCTCCAAGCATGGCTGTTTGTCAGCAGGGCCCTCCTCGGAGTTGGCCTCGCTCTTGACAGCACGTTTTTCTTCCCGATCTTCTGAAATCAGCCGTTCTTCTGTCATCGGTTGCTCGGCATCTTTCGCCATCTCGGTCGCATGAACTTGAGCCGTTTCTTCCACTATAATGGGTTCGAAAGATTCAGTCGGGGCAAGTCCAGAACGGGTGGCCTCAGCTTTCCGTCGGGCGGCCATCCGTTCGGCGTTTCTCTTTCGTGCCAACTGCGTGAGGCTTTCCCCAGCCATGTCCTCAAAATAAGCACCGGGAAGGTCTCCCAAATTCGTAAAAATATCTTCAAGGGAGACGTCCCCTCAGCCTGATGTGGACGGAGGATCGGACGAATTGAGTCCGGCTTCCTCAAAGGCCGAATTAAGAGCTTCGTCAACCACCGTCGCCAACAGGTACGGGTCCTCGGCGATTGGCTCAACCGCTTGTTCTTCTACTTGTTCCGAATCAGATGCTTCTAAACCAATCTGTCTCAAGTTTTTGAAGCTGGGGAATATAAGGGCTGTAAGATGGTTGTCACCTTTCGGGATCAGAATGTTATCTGCCACCAAAAAAATCGTGTAAGTCGGCTCGTACCGCAGAAGAATGTGGGCTGCCCTCCCTTGTTTTTGAAAGTTTGGACGGCCGACAAGCTGTAGTACGATTTTGATTTCTGCAAGTACAACTTCATCGTTTGAGACCAAAACTTTCTTCAAGTCGCTTCCTGCATAAACAAAGCGATTAGATGTATATAGGGTCGAATTGACATGTGGAAATAACAGGAAAAAAAAAAAAGTGATCTAATCGCCCACCCGGTTCGCCTTTTCGTCTTGGCACAGGGTCTAGGCGATCTTCACCTTCGCCGAATTCCCAATTGTCGCGGACAACGACCATCACGTCATCGACTCGCTTGCCAGAGCTGTCAAGCATCGTCACTAAGTGATGATCAGTATCCTTGACTCTAAGAAAGTAGCGTCCTAGCCGGCCAGTAGATTTGGCTAGGACATAACAATGACGAACAGCGGGTATACCTAAATTAATCCTAAAATGCCGATTTAGCTCTATAATTCCCATTATGATACAAAAGAAATTCACATTGCGCTGGGAAGGGATTAGATCCCAGTACCGTAGAACGGCCCTCAAAAATGGATGAAGGGGGAAGCGGACCCCGCCCTCAGCAATTGACAGGAGGGGAAAGATGATTGTGCTCTCGTCATCCCTCTCCATATCAGTGGTGCTGTCTGCCAAAAGTGACAGGTGGACGTCATCGGGGATGGAAAAATGACGACGAAAGCCAGAGATTCAGTCCGCTGAAACGAGCTCCATCAGATGTTTTGCCATTTTGGCCAACCCAAGGATTATGGAAAACTAAAAGCAAACAAGGAAGCGGGATCGAAAGTGATGGAGAAGAAAACTTACAGGGGGCGAAGGGAAAAACAAATAAGGAGTCGTCAACCACCGTCGCCAACAGGTACGGGTCCTCGGCGATTGGCTCAACCGCTTGTTCTTCTACTTGTTCCGAATCAGATGCTTCTAAACCAATCTGTCTCAAGTTTTTGAAGCTGGGGAATATAAGGGCTGTAAGATGGTTGTCACCTTTCGGGATCAGAATGTTATCTGCCACCAAAAAAATCGTGTAAGTCGGCTCGTACCGCAGAAGAATGTGGGCTGCCCTCCCTTGTTTTTGAAAGTTTGGACGGCCGACAAACTGTAGTACGGTTTTGATTTCTGCAAGTACAACTTCATCGTTTGAGACCAAAACTTTCTTCAAGTCGCTTCCTGCATAAACAAAGCGATTAGATGTATATAGGGTCGAATTGACATGTGGAAATAACAGGAAAAAAAAAAAAGTGATCTAATCGCCCACCCGGTTCGCCTTTTCGTCTTGGCACAGGGTCTAGGCGATCTTCACCTTCGCCGAATTCCCAATTGTCGCGGACAACGGCCATCACGTCATCGACTCGCTTGCCAGAGCTGTCTAGCATCGTCACTAAGTGATGATCAGTATCCTTGACTCTAAGAAAGTAGCGTCCTAGCTGGCCAGTAGATTTGGCTAGGACATAACAATGACGAACAGCGGGTATACCTAAATTAATCCTAAGACGTCGATTTAGCTCTATAATTCCCATTATGATACGAAAGAAATTCACATTGCGTTGGGAAGGGATTAGATCCCAGTACCGTAGAACGGCCCTCAAAAATGGATGAAGGGGAAAGCGGACCCCGCCCTCAACAATTGACAGGAGGGGAAAGACGATTGTGCTCTCGTCATCCCTCTCCATATCAGTGGTGCTGTCTGCCAAAAGTGACAGGCGGACGTCATCGGGGATGGAAAAATGGCGACGAAAGCCGGAGATTCGGTCCGCTGAAACGAGCTCCTTCAGATGTTTTGCCATTTTGGCCAACCCAAGGATTATGGAAAACTAAAAGCAAACAAGGAAGCGGGATCGAAAGTGATGGAGAAGAAAACTTACAGGGGACGAAGGGAAAAACGCGAAATAAGGAGTTGCAGAAGCCGCGAAGTGAAGGAGCTGCACTAGAAGGCGAACCAAATATCTTTGAGTATTCAGAACATACATTCAAAGAGACAATTTCAAATCACATTAAATGGAGGCAATGTACGAAGGGGCGGGAAAGCGTTACAATGACCAAAAAGTGTGTATGCGTTCTGACTCGCATTGGAAAAAGGGTTACCCGCTGAATTTTTGACTTCCCAGGCTAGAAACCAAACACGCCGACTAACTGATGCTAGTAGGGTGTTTGGGAGGGCAATTGTGGGAACCGAATTTCATTGAATCAATAGGGGCGAATGGACTCGTCCAGTCCGGAACGTAACCTCTATTCAGCATTGATCTAAGTCAATCAAAGGGCCAAATAAAATAACCAGCACTCCAGCCAGTAGAACAAAGGCCGAGTAGAAATATATGTAAAAAGATCAAGAATGGGCATGGCCCTAAGGCCCAAGGAGAACACTATAAATGCGGGATCATCAGTTAGAGAAAGGTATGTGAGAACCACTATACTTAACTTAAAATACAAGTAATTCAGAGAGTAAAGACTGACTTGTCCGTCGAAGTGCTAATTCTGACACCCCCGACCGGAGTGTTAATTCCTTTTAAGGTGGCTAGCTGAGAATCACGAGCATCCCCCAGGATTAGAAGAGTATTTTCAAACCACTTCTCTACATTAGACTCGACTCAACCCAACCTAACCTGAATTCATTAAAGAAAATTCGATACCATAATCTGATCAAATTTGAATTTGATTGGTTTGATTAGCAACTATTGATTATGTCAAGCCCAGATTTGCCTACACCGACCTAAATCCAAAGTAGCATGGAAGGTTCTATAAAAGACAAGTTATTGGGAGATTTTAGAATATTAGTTTATACCATTCAACATATAATATTTATTATGTTATTTTTCAAAATTTACATAAAAAATTATTAATTCTTACTGAATTAGGCTTATTTTGAGATATAGGTTAAAAGTTAAATTTTAATTTTTTTTAACTTTTTTTAAAAAAACGTGCAAAAATTAAAGAGATGAAATAACTTTAAAAAAATTAAAAAGACTAAAAAATTAACTTTTAAAAGCCTTAATTCATAAAAATTAATTGTAATCAAGTCAACTTAACCAAGACCAGCAAATAATCTCCACCATGAAAACATGTGGAGGCCGGAGTATGCATTGACGTGTGGACCAAATTGTACACGGACAATAAAATTCAGTTTGGTCAGGCAATTGCTTGCTATAAACATTTGGCAGAATTACATGTTTGTGGTGTTTTAAAAGATTAATTACAAATTGATAAAAAAAAAAATTACAAAAATATTTTGAGACTCTAAAAAATCTCTCACAATTTAACCAACAATAATATGATCTGACGTGTGTCAATTTTTGGTGGATAACACACTCAATTATATGAGACTCATCATCTTTGTCACATTATTGTAGATTTATTTATGGGTGCAAAATGTAAATCTCTAATATTATTGAAAAAATTATGACTTTGCATTTTTATGTTTGTACAGTGTATTATTGATTTGAAAATATACACTGAAATGTAATTTTTCCAATTTTTTTTTTTAATGAGGTGGTTAAATTTATATATTAAAATATGTGTTATTTATACTTAAAAAATGGTAACACAGAGACTAAATTGACTGTTTGGGGGTGTTAAGAAAAAAAATTAAAAATTCAATAAATTATTTGTCACCAGCTGAAAAAGTTAAATACGGCATTAATTTTTTTCTTAAAAAAAAAACTAATATCTTTTAACAACTTTCTAAACACATCAAAGCCAAAAAATTACTAAAAACCAATCAAAATCCCAAACCCACCCATTTTATTTTTCTATTTAATTGTTTATTAATTTAGAAAGTGAATGATTACCCTAAAAGTGTAATTAAAATGTGTCAAGTAATGTATGTACATATACATACAAGGGAGCAGCTCCTAGCCAACCCATCTTACTATCCGAATTGTTTATTTTGTGGAGTTCGTTAAACACATTATTCATTCAAAAATTAAGTAGATCGAACATTATTGGTAGTCATTTGATATAATTATATTTGTCTAAAAAAGTTAAAATAAAATAAAACAAAATAAACGAACTATCTTCAAAATTATACAGTCTGTCTATTTTTTATAGATAAATATGATTTAATTAAGTGACTAAATCAATTAAATTTTTTCGTATAAATAATGTGCACAATAAACTTAACAAGATGAACTATTCGAAAAGTTGCTTCCCAAATCTAAGCCAATAAGTAGACTTTCTTACTTGAAAGAGAGAGTCTATGCATCCAAAAATATGGATCAGAAATTGACCTAGAATAGTGATGTATGGTTGAGATCTATTTTTTATATAGTGGGATAATTAATCTTAACCGTAAAATGTATTTTTCGGATATTTTTCTAGGACTATGGAAATTTATATATATATATATATACCTGAGCATGAATAGTGTAGAAGATTTGGTTTCCCACAGTAGAGTGACTAGCACTTGCAACTTCAAGTCCTTCTTCCTTGAGAACACTCAAAACTTCATGTAACTTGAATTTCTTGTCCAACCCAGTACTCAAATTCACCTCCAAAGTTG